TTCTAACGTCCTGTTAGATGGTGATTTTCTATTCCATTAAAGAGATGCAAATCCATCCACCTTTTAACCTGACCTCTGATATTACGGAATCTAAGGCCTACTAAGTAGCCTTTCCGACAAATTCGCCACTCACGAATCCAACCCGCTAGAAACGAACGCTTCTTTTTATCTTTTCATTACGAAGTGCCGACAAAGTCTCTCCTCGTTCTCATACAAACCCCTATAATTTGCAACACACCTTTTTGCATGCACGAAAAAATTCTCCTTTCCTCTTTCACTATCAATGCCGAAACACGGTCAATCGATAAATTTCTCTCAAAAGATTTCTTTCCTTTATTCGATTCGTATTCTCGACGATATCTATTCAAAATTATAACACTACAAACGTTATCCCAACGTTGTTATCGAAGATATCAAAATTTATAAATCTCTATAAGAATAGTTCCGGCCATCTTTTATCGTTTACCATCCGTGTACCCCATTGGAAAACACAAGCGGCTCCCATAGTGGATGTAATACCAGAAATCCATCGTTGGCAATTTTTCTTCATTTCTGAGCTGCGTATTAACGGGGCAATGAGTCAATTTTACAGCAGCCTACGTGACATTTGAAAATACCTCACCCTTCTCTCTCCGTGATCCAACAGCTATGATCCTCCACCACTTTGACCTATATACCCAGCGGCCTTATCGGGGTTATGACGACCTCACGATGATGTCATCGTCCCACTGACGTCACCACCACTCCCTTACGTGACCATTGAGAACAACCTCGTTTCTATATTCCCTCGCACCCTCCCTCTCCTCTTCTCGTTCATCGTCTCGCCCTTCACAACTTCTCCGCTCTCTGTATCTCTTCCGAAAGCTTTAATGGCCGTGTCCTGTCTCATTCATGCGGATATTCCTTCGGACAACGAGCGTGACCCAGTTTCCGGGATATTCGTATATCGAGGATAAACCGTGTCGATACGATCGATTCGCAATTCTTGAAAGGATCCGTCTGCTACCGTTCGACTCGATCATCTCTTTCTATCCTCGATGAAATTTCTCGGCTATTTGGACACTTCTGATATTGATTTTTCTTCTCCTTTTTCAAATATTATTTCTTTTTTTTTTTCTTTCGTTTTTGTTTACTGGATTATTAGTATTGGGTGAGATAGGAAAGAGGTTGGGTAATCGTTCGACGAATGAAATAGAATTTCAAGACGATCCTTGTGTTAATCCTTTAGAATAATATTTTGATTTATTAAAGCAATCGCCTTGATGAATCTCCGCGTGACTTCTTCTCAGACTATCGTTGAATTTCCGCCAAGTTCAGTGAGACAGCAATTTTTACAATTTTATTATCAATAGATACGTATTGAACTTCAAAAAAGATTTGAAATAATATTTTTTTATTACAGTTTAATTATTAAAAGTTGGTGGAATAATAATCGAATGAAAGATTAAGTTTGTTGAAATATTACGAATCATATCCTTTCGCAACATTTTCGCCTTTTTCGCTTTCGTTGCACGAACGGCATCGTAAAAAACAGCTTTTCACAAAACCTATATACCTTATATAACAGTTGTTTTTACACCATAGAGACGCCGTAGCAAACGTTTCACTTATCAATCGAGATTTAAATGATTTACACGATTACAGGCAGATTCGAAGCTACCGTCGAAAAACGATCTATTAGAACTTTCCTTCACTCCCCTCTCCTCTCTCTTATCGTGAAAATTATATTGACTCGTTAAAATTGTACGGCCTTTTAAGGAAGATGCTGAAAGTGCACCACTTGGCTTAACTAACCGGCCAACGAGTAAGTCGTAAACCGTGACCCGAGTGCAATCGTTAGTTACAGTTACGATCAGGTTAAATCGGTTGTTTCACTTTAGAATAGAATGTAAAATCGGCAATGTTCACGGTCCCTTGTTGCTTGCTTGTTCCTCCTGCTCGTGAAAACACTCTGTTAAATACGATTGCAACAGATATACCGCGTTGCCTATTAAGTAGTAAATTCGAGCATTCGCCGGACCAATTGCATCCGCGGTTAATCGATCGATAACAAGTACATTTGCGAATTCCATTTCCAAGTCTATGTTTTCCATACGGAGAAACTACTTTAGGAAGGAAGATAATGAAAAGGAATTCAGAATATGCAAACAAACAGTTTCACCATAGTTTTCTCCTACTGTGGTAATTCTCTTTTTATTTATCGAGCACTTGAAAAAACTCGATAAAGATTTATATTCAACTGTAACCGAGAGTGTTTACCATGTAATAAAATGCATGCAGTTCGCCTGTGTTGAATGATATAACTTTCTTTCCTTAGAGTCTTGGATATATATTTACCAACGTTTCAATAAGATTTACATATTTTTTGAAAAAATGCAAATAATCAAAATCGATAATAATGCATATAATTTCGTGAAACTTTAAGAGTTTACATATACAGTTCTGCGCATATATTTCTAAAATTATATTTTTAAAAAAAACATACGAGAAATCGATATCTTCGAATGTTTACGAAAATATATTTTAATCCTTTCAAATATATTTATCCAAATAACCGATAAAATGTATAAAACGATACGAAACGCGAAATTTTTCGGATCTCAAGCTGTGAGCAACGCGATATTTTACTAAATTGAGTTTTACTTCAATGCGAAATAATAACACGTTTCGTTTACGTATACGTATCGATAAATTGCTCTTTTTTTCTTGAGATAATCCCTTATTTCGGAACGAACATGCTCGGTTATGGCTCGTAAGTAACTACGCTCTTTTCTCTAACTGATGGTTCGTTCTAGAGCTTTATCGTCCATAGTGTTGAACAGAAGTGAAGGTAAGAAAGAGAGATGAAAAGGAAGAAAGAAAATGATAAAAGGCAACGCCCTTGGCGCCGGAACATCGATAAATGTCGCTCTCGAACGGATCTGTTCAAATAAAACGCGAAACTGGGTTGGTCGTTAGCGACTCGTGGCTTGTTTCCTCATTAACTTTACTTGCAATTAAAAGATCCTGACGAACTTAGGCGACAGCCCTGAATCCTGATGCAAAGCTCGGAAAGCTCCCATAAATAAAATGATCGATTGTCCAATTCTAATGAGATCCCCAAATTATTAATTATAATTGGTATCAAATAATTTGTAATAAATGGAAATTTAAAAAAATGGAAAAATATAATATTAATTATTAAGAGTGTTTCTAATGAGCGTTCTGATAACGAAGGCAACACACATTAAAATGCCAAGATAATTAATCATTTGTGATATCGTAAACACATTATTCGAGACACCTTCACTGAAATAAACAGCTGAATGATTATAATTGGTATTCATAAGCGGCGACTAATGAATGTTAATTAATTTCACGCGAGCATGTTGCAAGGTGTCGTAATTATCGATTATGTTATCTGTACAGGTGTTGGACAAAATTTTGTTAAGCGAAAAATTAATTAATTAACGACGCCAGCAAGTATTAAGTGATAATCATATTGTGGGAGCTCGAATGTGGAAAATATATCCAAAGTTGAAGTTCCTGTTATTTATCGGGACGAGTAATACTTGTACAAGTTAACTACATCTCTATGAAACGTAATATTACACATATGTGATGATTAATTTCGATTGCTCGATTACTCTTCAATTTAAATATAACTTAATTTAAGTGTAACAAATGGGGAAAGGCATGCAATCAATTTTCCCCATTCGATCATTTTGCATCAAGTAACATTACGATATTTCTTGCTCTTGATCAACAGGTATACGCCGTTAACCCAGTTAAATATCCAATCAATTAAATCAATTACTTCATTACACAAGTACTCGACCAACTTTCACCTGAGCCTCGATGAAATTTAATTTCGATAGTCTGCTGTGCGACTATCGGTGGCCAAGTGTCCAAAGACTTCCGTCGCGAAAGCTTTCCGCCGGAAACGGTTACGCTATCGTGTCACAATTGGCGTCGTTATTTTAATCTGTTCGGGAAACGATTTTAATATCTCTCCTATCTCAATTTACGGTCGGATGAAAGGTCATTTTCTGGACAGGAAGTTTCTCATATGATGATTTGAAGCGCGTGATAGAATCTCATTTCGTACCGCGAACACGATGTGCCGCTTTTGTGTGTGGAAAGCTTATGCGTTAACAAGATTTAGATCACCGCATAATCCATGTATAATAGCCGTTGATCTAGATCGACCAGTCCCGAGCAAACTATTCAGCATTGCTGATTACAAGATGTTCATTGCTGTTATCGAGCTAATATATTCACTATGGGAATCGTGAAGACCCGATAAATTGACTGATTGAGAAAATTGAAAAGCATTTCTGGCATATTATGATATAATAAATAAGTAAAAAAGATTTTAAAAATTGCCAAGCCTTTTGAATAATTTAGTTTGTATGAAAAGAATTTTGATAAGAATTATACGTATTATTTGATGAATATTTTTACAATCATCTTTGATTCTTAAATGATCTCTTAAATCTCAATGGTACGATCTTGATTTTTGAATAAAATTTTCAAATAATTTCCAAGTAATTTCTTTGTGATTTTTATATCATTATATCAGAGATAGTATCAGAGAGTTTTCCACAAACTCGAAATGACGAGCTATATATTTTTCTCCAATAATAAATTTGTTTTATAATTAATATGTCGGATCAGGGATTTGATAATTTAATGTTATATTTAAATTATACATGAAATACAATATATGCTTCTACGATAGGCTTTTCAGAATTAATGACTAATTAAATTAAGTGACATCGATCCGGTTGCGTAATAAACAGCTTGTAATTTCGAAATAGATTCTCTTAAATAATGGACTTACCGTATTTATCATGCCTTATCGTTGGTGATTATTTTTTGATTGAGAACTTCATCCTAAATTAAAATTAAAACAACTCTTTCATTGGATATTGCCAATTTGATTATAATTGTGTTCAACGTTTAACATTTGGAATAATTTAAAATATTATTATCACTAAGATAGTGAATCTTTGTTTCAGGACATTGATTACGAGGGATTTCGTAAATTTCTAGACACCTATCTCGAAGTGACAACCCCTGACGAACTGTCACGACATCTTTTTTTGTCGTTCGTTAAAAAGGTGCCACGAGGAGTCGATGGGAAAGCTTTTAAGGTAGGATATTCTTCCTTATAATTTTTCTAAAGATTTTTCTATTTAAAAGGATTCTATTAAAAAGGAAGAAAATTAATAATAACTTTCAACTGTTGTTATCAATATTTGTTATCAATATTCATTCCACGTATTCGATCAAATTTTTCACGCTGATTTTTGAATTAAATATTCGAAGATTTATCAGAGATAGGAATCTTTGCATCAGGAAATGGCCGTGCTTTCGTCGACAACCGCTTGTGCCGCCATTACGTCTCACACAACGTCCAGCAGCAATGTGAACAGCACAGGTCTACCTGGTGGAACATCGTCGGAGGGTGGACACGGTTCCTCTTTGGCTGACAAAATTCACGGTCTCACAGAGAAATTGCAGGCATTGGGACATCATAGAACGGACAGTGAAGTCTCCACCAGAGCACGCACAGGTAATTAAAATTTTATTTTTGATAAGGGTAAAATTATATTTCAAAATCAATTTTTGAAAACTTTTTGACAGAGAGGAAACTATTATTATTTTAATTACTTGCTCGCTTAATCCGTGAAACGACGAAGGAAAAGTCTATTTAGAATGTCCTTCGATGATAAATTTAGGTCTTTGATAAAGATATTTACAGTGTAAACGCGATACACTTACACGTAAACGCATTGAATCATCTTTCATCGGTACGAGTTTACAACGATATTATGCAATATTAACTTACTCTAAAGAGAAAACAATGAAACGTTTGCACTAACTGGTTGTTTCTCACGAGATACGAAAGGATCAGACAATAGATATTTGTAATACATTTCACTGTCTATATAAGAGACAATTCCAAGAGAACTACGTAACGCACACTATACGCACATATCCCCTGAATATTATTTTATCCTTACAAATGCTCGACGTAATACTACGGATGACGTTGAAAAATATAGAATATAAATCATTGAAAAAATTGATTTAAACTTCAATAATACGCATATTCTGCAGATGTCTCACAATCGGAAGATTGAATAGTTTATCAGATCAAATAATTTATAGTCTTCGATAATTTAGAATAAATAAATTTTACCATTGTATAATTTAAAAAATCATATAATATTTTAAAAAAAATAATGTTCCAGCGTACAATATTCGTCAATTATCTTTCATTCGTCTCATTCGTCATTCTAATAACAAGTGATAAATTCCACGATCGAACATTTTTGATATTGTCACGAACGAATAACATTACAGAGACGAGTTTCGAAACGAAAGCGAAAAAGTCGATCGATCATAGAAAGTGGATTACCGTGAATGATTACTGATTTCATTCGTTGATTTAATCTCACCATTGATCAGATCAATTTTCCATTTTACGATACCAATCTGAAGATCGAAAAGAAGATTTAGTTGCCCAATGGCGATATTAAACGATAATCTGAGCTTTGAAGAAAAAAATAAAGAGTTGCACAAAACGTGCGATTTCATTGTGCGGTCTTTTGTTAAGTTTTGTTCAGTTGTTCACCGATACGTTTCTTTGTAAAATTGTAAAAGCGTAAACAAAAAAAGAGGAGAAGTGGAGAACGCGAGAAAAATTAAATCAATGATACATTTTTCTTTGTGCGCGGTGTACAAGGATGGATCCTGAAAAATCTCACTTTGACCACATTTCTCTTTGATTACCGAATTGCTCTGTGAATGAATATTATAAATTAAAAAAGTAAATGTATCATGTATCGTTGCTAATACGTATGTAGCGTAATAAACGTGTTTGTTAAAAATTTTAACAATCCAACGAGGAGTGACGCCTTATTTTTTTTTTTTTTTTTTGAAAGTTGAGATCAAAACATTAGAACGCACGATAAAAATTAGGAATATAGAAAATTTAAGATAAAGTAAATAAAATAAATCAAAAATTTTTTATTTTTCTTTTACTTCTAATACATTAATTATACAACGAATATATTTTCATAACAATCATATCCTCTAAATATTCTTCCCATCGAATCGAAAACAATACAGATTTAAAATCGAAACCACCACGAGTCACAAATGGAACAGTAATATAATAGAAAGAATAATTTAACGCATTAATATTACGGACGATAATATCGATAATTCTGCTGCCTGTCTACCAAACGTTGAGCATTGGGGGAAAATCAACGCTTACACGCGTATCGAATGTCGGTCTATCCTCTGCTTGTTTTATCTGATTGATCGGATCAGAGGAACAGAAAGCGATAAACTTGCCACGATCGTCCATTAAACGTTCTTTTCCCTGCCATTAAATCGAGAATCTGCTCGTGATATATCAGTAGCCCCCATAATCCTACTCTCTCTCTCGAGTCATCCGATCACGTCAATAATACTAATATTCTCCCTTGTGTTCCATCGACGGGCTTCAAGGAAGCGTTCATCCTATATTGACGATACAACAGCACACGTCGTACAGCTGCCATGACGTGATAGAGAAAAAGAGCACGGACAGCAGCCCGAGCCATAGCCAAATGTCGCGGAATTCGTCCAGGAAGTCGAACAATTCGCTCCTCATCAACAACGGGAAATTAGAAGGTAGGTCAAGCTTGATATTAACGATGCCGTCAACCAATTTGCTCCCGTTGAAATGCAACGGGATTACGTCTCTCTCTGATAGACCGTTTGCTCCATTTTCACTTACTTTTTTTTTTTTCTTTCGTCTTTGACGATGCGTTTGGTGTCGCGATAAATTAGAAAAAATATTTTGGTTTGCGTAGTGGAAGACGTAGAAAAGAAGTGGGAAAAGCGGAAAAGTAGAAAACGAGTGGAAAATAGCACGATGTAAATAAAATTGTTTTGTTAAATCAATAATAAGTAAGTAATATAAAAATTCTGTCAGAATTATACTGCGGATACTTTCTTCAAAAGTAATTTTAAAATATTTTTTAAAACGTCTCGTTTTAGATAGTGAATTGAATTTTAATTTTTAACTTTTGATTACTTTCAATTTTAAGGAACGCTTTTATGTTCGTTTATCTCCACTACTTCATCGATCTAAAATCGAGAAACGGTATTAAAGTTCATGAACGACGATGAACATGAAACTCGCATTTGAGCACAAGGCAGAAATTTACGTGCAAGGCAAATAAGATGGTTTAACTCGAGCGCTATGTTATAACTTGTGTTTCGCATTTCGAATGGAATTCGCAAGGTTCCGTCTGAAGGAGCATAATGGAACGGAATAGTGGATAAATATCCGATTCCAAAGAGGAATAATTCCGCGCCTATGGGCAATCTCGAGTTAAACGACACAATATCGCGAGATGATCTTATCTCATTCTTTCTTTCTCTCCATGATCGTAAGATTCTTTACGATGAGCCGTGACATATAGGTTGGCAAACAAATCGATGCCATAAAAGCTGCCCGACACCGTAAAACTCGTAAGGACTTAAGATGGTCGTGCCCATGGTAGCTCGATGATGCTATAATTCATTTCTCTCCGCGTTATTCGCGCAAGATGCGTGCAAAAAACTCTTGACGCACGTCCGATCTTACGTTACTTGGTAAAAAATTATTTTTCTCCACACAGCTTACTTGTCTTCTCCCTTCCTCGTCGTGATATCGATTTTGCTTCCAAAACTATTTCCGAAGAGGTAACGATTTTTCTTAAGATTTTAATATTATTAAGAGATATTAAGAGAATTTTAAGAAAAACCAAAACCAAAAGTCTCTCCTAACTTAAATCAATAAGGCGGTTCCAAATACGAGAATAACTAAGTCAGCATAGAATTGCAGGTAAATCAGGTAAATCAAAGATTCGAAAGCGGAAGACTTACGATCAAAGGAAATCTCACCACGACCTACATACAAACTCGAAGGATTTCCTCCTCTTCCGAGAATAATATCGTTCGAATCCTCGTGTTAAAGACACGTGATAAAGCCGCAGAACGGAGCATTATTATCGCTCGACGTGGAGTTTCAATTTAAGGGAGTGGAGGTGATTTCCATACTGATGGAACCGTCTCTGGGCCAGAGAAATTTGTGTATCGGGCCGAAAATATCGGGAGCGCAATATTCTACGGGGATCAAGCTAAGGAAACGTTGAAACGGAGCAGCGACACGAGAATACCCTTTGCCTGGTGGAAAAATTTATGTGCGTTCCGAGAATGGAACGGAATCTCCTTTGCCTGGGAAGTCTGGGTTACGCTTGATATGATAAGGAAAGGTTTCATTCCGTACACCCACCGATTTTTACGCTGATGCATTATTCACGGGAATAGTACGATCGTTGAATGCGGTTGGATTGTAACTCTCGACCGGAAGTATACTTCTTCGGCGAATAATATTGAAAAAAACGAAAAAAAAATGGAAAGAAAAAAAAAAATAGAGGCAAGATTTTTCGATTCTGAGAAGTTTTGTGAGGATATTTACATGCGCAATTGTTGTGATCAGAAATTGAATAGGATAGAGGAAAAATGTTCAATATTAATTGGTTGATTAATTAGAGTAAAATGAACTTTGGAGGATGAATGGCGAAATTTCTTTCTTCGAAATTTTTATTTCTATAATACAATATTTCAAACACTTTTAGATTATTATAATAAAATTTTATTTATTTTGTTTGATATAACGATCATATTGATTAATACATAATCTCGCTTTTATCTATGATTTTTTCGTTTTTAATAATTGAAATTCGTATTCCAATAATATGAATTACTTAATCGATATGACTAATTAATTAGAACTAATTAATTAAAATTAAAGTTTCGTATAAATGGAATTATATAAATAAAATTCTGTAAAATTCCCCCGTTACGTAGATGAAAGGATCTATTAAAAAACTCAGGTAATGTTGGGATGACCTTTAATGCGTGGGGAAATATTTAGCAGAATTTGACGCGTGATTTTGACGAGTTAGATTAAATCTTCGCGACTTCCTAGTTCCATATAAACCGCGTAAATATCCATTTTAAAATGACAGCATGATCTTTGCAAAATGTCACGAAACAGTCCGTGAAAATTCTAGATCAACTGTTTGCGGAGTTGTCTCGAGAAAGGAAAACGTGGAAATCTCAAAGGCGATATTTTTGAAACATGAAAAGAGTTGAGGGAACGGAGACATCAAACGATGTGTTCTTGCCTCGGTTTAAACGGTTTGTCACCTCCTTCCTTGATCAGAAAGGTCAATCTCGTTTAAAAAATCTTTCACAGAAAGATCGAAGAAAATACGTAGCACGGTATAAACAACCGTTTCTAATGCAAAATTAAAATAATCGTTCATTTTAATCAAAAATGTTCTACACGCTTTGAAACTTTCACAATGGAATTTTCCATATTTGCTACTTAATCTTCCATTAATAACTATTCCTTCTAGATAATTATCTGGAATCCACTTTGTTCCAATTGGCAAGAGCACAGAATTATGTAAACTTTTATTAAGGATACGAATTTTAGATTTTTATAATTCCTATTTCAATGCACAACAAAATATCTAAACCGTATATCTTTTATTTTACGCCGCGCTTTTAATTAATTTCTTTATCTGAAATTTTGCCGTTCTAGCTCTCCATTTCAACTTCCTTCTCGCCATTTAATTGTCCCGCTACTCGCCGATGAGTTTGCGTACTCGTTCGATCCCCGAAATAACGCGAACCGGTATCATCCGGTATAAATAACGTCAAGCATAAGCGTCGAGACTCGTCTCGACTTCAATCTCTCTCGATATACTTTCTCAGTATCTCTCGAGTCACGCGGGAAGCAACAAGTGTCATCTTCATATTTCCCGCCCTATGATAATCGTTAATAATTGATATTATTCACGATTGCACAGTTTTCGCGTTTTTTTTTTTTTCGTCTGTGAAATTACGTTGCTCGTTAAGTATATAAGATTGTTCACGAAATGATGTTGAAGAACGATCAAATACGTTTACCGGATATTCCTGGTGCGTTGCTGAAGGAAGGTGAGTGAAAAAGAGGAACTTTTTAGAGGAAATGTGAGATTGGTTTTACAATTTAAACGAATAGCGGTTTTCTTTTTTTTAAATATTCAATGAATTGAATCACAAACTTTATTAATATCAATATGACGTGATATACAATTGTACGATACGTATAGAAGATAACAGCATGTTTTTCGAATATTTCACATTCTTCACTTTCAATCATCAATGAAAATTTTACAAGTAAATATCTTTCAAAATTTCTTGTCGCTTTTTTTTGTAGATAACTCGAAAGATCATTCTTATAACTACACTAAACGATCTTATACAATCTTTTCGTCGATCATAACCGAAAACTAATCAATAGGAAATTCTGTTTAAATAGAATGTTTCTCGATATATATATATATATAACGAAAATTGAATATCATAAATATCCAGGTTGACATAAAATACACTTGCGTCGTCGACACTCGCCGCGATTGGCCAATATTCAAACTGAAACATTCAAGGCCTTTTATCAAATGAAAATGACATCACCACCGAAGAACATCCTATTTTTTTATTTTTTTTTTCGATCGAAAAACCATTTCGATCGTAGAGGGTGGTGTCGGATTAATCGCCGCGGGAAACAATGCACGTGGTGAATTGATTGTATGATTCTATTCATACGGCGAAATGAAATCGGAAATAACGAATAAGTTAGCCCCCATCCGGTTATTCATTACAACTGTGATCGTAGCGGCGAAGCAATCAATCGTGTCATCCGGCGAGCATCGATGGTTTCAATTAAATTAATTGTTCGCAGTGATCCTCCAGTTGCTCGATGGAATAAATTGAAGCCAAGTTCTCGAAACGAACCTGCTCCTCGATGATCGATGAAATTTTCTTTCATCCTTAGGTTCGTTGTTCGAACGAATAATTATGGAATCTGCATCCCCTTTTATCATTATTTCAAACGCGCCAACTTCACGTTGCATCGTTTCGTTCGATGAAAATATTCGAAATATTTAATAGCAATGCCAATATTTGTCGTTTGAATAGGAAAGTGGTATATTAAGTGCTATGTACTTTTCCATCCTCTGTCCAAAATCAACTATCACCTTTATTGACGGAATTCGATGGATACCATATTCGTGCTGTTTAATTTTCTTTGTTTATCTTGTTGCTATCTTGAGTGCAAATGTTCGAAAGAGCATTTCCAATTTATCGATGATATATCTCTTCTAAGGATGCGAATAAAACTCTCACTCAACATGCATTTTACATATTTTTCGCAAGTAGACATCATCTTGGAAATTATCATTGGACAATCTCTCTTAACGTAGTTTCCACTTGCGAAAAATACTCTGTCAAGAGTAAGTCTCGATCCTTTTTACTCGTGAAGATAAAATAGACAAGATCGGGAAAAGGAAGCATGAAAATGCGACGAAGTTACAACGACCGATACGCACGATCCTTTCTCGACGATCAAGGGGAGGAAAGGATTTTTCCACGAGAAATTTCTTAGAGGCACGAATCAGTTTTCGTGTGTCATTGGAAATCGCGGCATAGCCATCGAAAAATCACGGACGAGGCAAAATGGACCGCAGGAGAGTAATAGAATAGTCGGTAAATTTGTTTCAACGTTGTTGCGCGTACTAAAGATAAATCGTTCGCGATCGATCGACCGGCTTTATTTCCCTCGTGACCATCCGCTTTTCTCCATCTTTTTTTTTTTCTTCTTCCTTTCTTTTTTTCCTCTCTACTCTCTTGCGCATCTCAGGTGCCCGCGTTACGTACAGATTCGTAAAATCACGAGAAGGAATTACAGGGAGAAGCTATCGTTTTCGAAGCTTTGTCTCGTCTTCGACTCGATGCTATTTTTATCAGGAACGTAGAAATCACATTTTATTTTGATGTTTCGCGGAATCATCTTCGATGTCTTCATTTTCTGTTCCGATTGGACTCGAAGGAGTATAATTCGAAATCGTAGATCAATATCAGAGTTTTTCTATTTTTCGTTGGAACAAAGTAAGATATAAATCTGATCTAATTGTAACGATCTCTATTGCTAGTCGAGGATTAAGATATTTGTTCCAAGCTACGTTATCAAGGCAATTTGAAATCATGAATATTCAAATATATTCATTCGGAAACTATTTGTTAAATAGTTCAGAAAACATTCTGTTATATTCTTTCTCATAATTTCATTATAATAATCAATTTGCAAAGATCTACCTTACCTGTAAGTTTTCTCTTCAGTTATAATATGGTACTGTTGTTATAAATCGAGAAAATATTGCAAGAAGGTAACAATGAAATATCTTCCAATATCTTCGCGAGAAACGCGTAATCGAAAGAAACGTTTGTTACGTCCCCGATCATTTGGATGGAGAAATTGTTTACGCGTCGCTTGAAATTACACGGTGAAACGTGAAATTTCTGCTTACAAATTTCGTTCCAAGAATATTCGTCGCGACAAGATCGTCTATCTACGAACAGGCATGCACGTGCAACGTTCGATCGTTATAATTAGAGCACTCGTAGTGTACACGCATCGATACTTGGCTCCTAAATCTCTCTGTGCGAAGCAACAGGTTCTCCTTGTAGAGGCTCTTAGACGTCGCTGACGAAACTGTTTCGTTCTAGTCTAAAAATAATTTTTTCGATCACTTTTCGCTTATTTAAACGTCGCCAATACACGGCAACAATTATATCGCTGAAAAACTAATGAGAGAAATTTATCACGAGAATTTGTATAATAATTGTTCAAATTCTAGCCTAGTCGTGTGAAAATTAACGTCAAAATTATAACGTCAATTTCTAAGTAATATTTTTTTTATTTTTATACGTGGAGCGCGCACGAGTGATGACACATTGCGATTTCGTAGTAATGATGTGATATTATTCGATATACTTATATATTTATAGTACACGTGTATATTGGGACACGACCTATGTATTAGGAATTTAAACGTGCATTTTCTTAATACATTCTAATTATAAATGCATGTATATATGGATCTTGAATTCATTACGTATAAAATTTTTTAATATTATTGGAAATAGAAAAATTCCGCTATCTCTTTTCCTAGGTTATATTTTTCTGGTATAAAATCAAAATTTCTGAGATTTATAATTTTATATCAGAAAAATATAATTGAAAAAGAAGTGGTATTTGGTGAATTTTTTCTTGTATTCTTGAAATATCGTGACATAGACAAAAAATTTTTTTATTAAATTTCACAATTACAATAATAAGAATATGATCTAAAAGTAGCATATCATATAAAAATATATATTATCTAATATTTTATTTATCTATTTTATAATTATTTTACATAATTATCTCTTTATATTGTTATATTCATTGCTTTTTTATTCATTTTTTTTTTTATTATAAAATTTAATTATAAAACTTAATATATTTATGTATTTATATATATAAAGTATATATGTAACAGAATAGATACAGATTTGTGAAATATAGACAAACAAAAAAAGATAAAAATATACACAGAATTTGATAATACATACAAATAAGAAACATAATAGAAACATAAATAAAGTATATTTTGTCTCTATGTTAGACAAAGAAAAAAAATT